ACTCCAGCTGGTTGCTAACCATTGCTTATAGATGGAACAGTACAGTACAGCACAGGAACAGGCCCTTCGACCCACCATGTTTAGCATAGGTTCTTTGCTTTTGTATTATATGCTTAATTTAAAAATTCAGGCATCTCAAAAATCTTAAACCCAAAACGCATTTGCAATATATTCTGCCACCGTCAGAGACCTCCGTAAGTGCACCTTCTGATCTCTGCCTAAATTCCATTTAGTTTCTATCACCTCTCTTTGTCCTTCTTGTTCAAATAAATCTGTTTGCTGTTTTCTGTTAGAACATAAGAACTAGGAGCAGGTGTAGGCCGTCTGGCCCTTCGAGCCTGCTCCGCCATTCAATAAGATCATGGCTGATCTTTTTGTGGACTCAGATCCACTTACCCGCGTTCTCACCGTATCTCTCAATTCCTTTATTGTTCAAAAAAAAGTACCTTTTTTTTAAAAACGTTTACTGAAGTAGTGTCGACTACTTCACTGGACAAGGAATTCCATAGATTAACAACCCTCTAGGTGAAGAAATTCCTTCTCAATTCAGTCCTAAATCTGCTCCCTGTAATCTTGAGGCGATGTCCTCTTGTCTTAGCTTCACCTGCCAGTGAAAACATCCTCTCTACTTCTATCTTATCTATTCCCTTCATAATTTAATATGTTTCTATAAGATCCCCCCTCAATCTTCTGAATTCCAATGAATATAATCCCAATTTACTCAGTCTCTCCTCATAAGCCAACCCCCTTAACTCCGGAATCAACCTAGTGAACCTCCTTTGCACCTCCTCCAGTGCTAGTACATCCTTTCTCAAGTAAGGAGACCAAAACTGCACACAGTACTCCAGGTGTGGCCTCACCAGCAACATAACCTCTCTGCTTTTAATTTCAATCCGTTTAGCAATGAAGGACAAAATTCCATTTGCCTTCCTAATTACTTGTTGTACCTGCAGACCTACCTTCTGTGATTCATGCACAAGGACACCCAGGTCCCTCTGCATAGCAGCATGCTGCAACTTTTTACCATTCAAGTAATAATCCTTTTTACTATTACTCCTACCAAAATGTATGACTTCACGTTTATTTACATTGTATTCCATCTGCCAGACCTTTGCCCACTCACTCAATGTCTCTATGTTCCTCTGCAAAGTTTCACAGTCCTCTGCACACTTTGCTCTGCCACTCATCTTAGTGTCATCTGCAAACTTTGACACCCTACACGTGGTCCCCAACTCCAAATCATCTATATAAATTGTAAATAATTGTGGTCGCAACACCGATCCCTGAGGCACACCACTAGTCACTGACTGCCAGCTAGAATAGCACTCATTTATCCCCACTCTTTGCTTCCTGTTAGTCAACCAATCCTCTATCCATGCTAATACTTTACCCTTAATGCCATGCATCCTTATCTTATGCAGTAGCCTCTTGTGCGGCACATTGTCGGAAGGCTTTTTGGAAATCTAGGTACACCACATCCACTGGGTCCCCATTGTCCACCTCGCTCGTAATGTCTTCATAGAATTCCAAAAGATTTGTCCAGCATGACCTGCCCTTCATGAACCCATGCTGCGTCTGCCCAACGGGACAATTTCTATCAAGATGCCTTGCTATTTCTTCCTTGATAATAGACTCCAGCATCTTCCCCACTACAGAGGTTAAGCTAACCGGTCTGTAATTCCCCATCTTTTGTCTACTTCTCTTTTTAACCAGTGGCGTCACATTTGCTGTTTTCCAATCTGCTGGGACTGCCCCAGAGTCCAGCAAATTTTGGAAAATTACCGCCAGTGCACCTGCTATTTCTCCCGCCATCTCTTTTAGTACCCTGGGATGCATTCCATCAGGGCCAGGAGACTTATCAATCCTTAGCTCCATTAGCTTGCCCAACACTACCTCTTCCGTAATAATGATTGTTTCCAGGTCCTCACCTACCTTCGTCTCTTTGTCAATTACTGGCATGTTATTAGTGTCCTCCACTGTGAAGACCGATACAAAATACCTGTTCAATGCCTCGGCCATTTCATCATATCCCATAACTAAATTCCCCTTCTCATGCTCTAAAGGGCCAACGTTTACTTTAGCCACTCTTTTTCTCGTTTTATATATTTGTAGAAACTTTTGCTATCTGTCTTTTTATTCTGTGCTAGTTTTTTCTCATGTTCTATCTTACTTTTCTTTATAGCTCTTTTTGTGGCTTTCTGTTGACCTTTAAAGTTTTCCCAATCTTCTAGTTTCATGCTGTTTTTGGCCACTTTGTATGCCTTCTCTTTTCAATTTGATAGCCTCCCTTATTTCTTTAGACACCCATGGCAGATTACCCCTTTTCTTACAGTCCTTCCTTTTCATTGGAATATACTTTTGCTGAGCACTTTGAAAGATTGCTTTGAAAGTCCTCCACTGCTCGTCAACTGTCCCACCATAAAATCTTTGTTTCCAGTCTACTTTAGCCAAGTCCTCCCTCATTCTATTGTAGTTCCCCTTGTTCAAGCACAGGACCCTGGTATTGGATTTTATCTTCACACTCTCCACCTGTATTGTAAATTCAACCATTCTGTGATCACTCCTTCCAAGAGGATCCCTAACTATGAGGTCATTAATTATTCCTGTCTCATTACACAGGACCAGATCTAGGATAGCTTGCTCCCTCGTTGGTTCCATTACATACTGTTCAAGGAAACTATCACGGATACACTCAACGAACTCCTCCTCAAGGCTACCCTGACCGAGCTGGTTTGACCAATCTACATGTAGGTTAAAATCCCCCATGATAATTGCCGTACCATTTTTACAGGCATTAGTTATTTCTTTGTTTATTGCCCACCCCAATGTGATGTTATTATTTGGTGGCCTATAGACTATGCCTATCAGTGACTTTTTCCTCTTAGAATTTCTAATTTCCACCCAAATGGATTCAACCTCATTCTTCTAGAGCCTATGTCATCTCTCAGCACCACCCTGATGGCGTCCTTGAATTTCAGAGCTACACCACCTCCCTTACCTTCCTGTATGTCCTTCCGAATAGGCTGGTACCTTTGGATATTTAACTCCCAGTCGTGACCATCCTGTAACCATGTCTCTGTAATGGCTACCAAATCATATTCGTTCGCGATGATTTGTGCAGTTAACTCATCAACCTTGTTACGAATGCTACGAGCATTCAGGTAAAGTGCCTTTATGCTAGCTTTCTCACCCTCATGATTTCCAACATCTGTAATAATATCTCCTGAGTTATCCTTCCTTTTTGCTTCTTTCATAGTCTGCCTTGAACTTAAACCCTCCTGCACACATGCTAACCTGCTGTTTACCTTTTTATTTACCATCATACTCGGTCGTTGTCGTTTTCCCTTTCCCTTCCCCCCCCCCCCCCCCCCCCCCACCAACTCACTAGTTTAAAGTCGTAATGACCACCCTATTTATCCTTTTCGCAAGAATACTGGTTCCAGATCAGTTCAGGTGGAGACCGTCCCATTGGTACAGATCCCTCCGGTTCCAAAACTGATGCCAATGCCCCATGAAATGGAACCCCTCTTTCCCACACCACTCCCTTAGCCACGTGTTTACTTCCCTAATTTTCTTATCCCTAAGCCAATTTGCACGTGGCTCGGGCAGTAATCCGGAGATTATGACCCTCGAGGACCTGTTCCTTAATTTCGTTCCTAGTGCTTGATAATCCCCAAACAGGTCCTCCATCCTAGCCTTGCCTATGTTGTTAGTCCCAACGTGGACCACAACAACTGGATCCTCCCCCTCCTGCTCCAATATCCTTTCAAGCCGGTCAGAGATGTCCTGCACCCTGGCACCAGGCAGGCAACACACCATGCGGGACTCCCGATCCGGCTTGCAAAGGATACTATCTATCCCCCTAACTATAGAATCCCCTATAACTACCACTTGTCTTTTTGCTGCCCCCTCTTGAATGGCCTTCTGCACCATGATGCCGCAGTCAGCTGGCTCATCTTCCCCGCAGCCCTTTTCCTCATCCACACAGGGAGCAAGTATCTCATACCTGTTAGATAAGGTCAAAAGCTGAGGCTCCTCCACTCCTGAACTCGGGATCCCCCTACCTGCCTCACTTGCAGTCACACCCTGTTGTCCCTGATCACTAACTGAATTTGAATTACTTAATCTACCAGGTGTGACCGCCTCCTGAAACAAAGCATCCAGGTAACTCTCCCCCTCCCGGATGTGCCGCAGTGTTTGAAGCTCAGATTCCAGATCTTCAACTCTGAGCCGGAGTTCTTCCAGCAACCAACACTTGCTGCAGATGTGGTCACTGCCGTTCACAATGGGATCAGCCAGCTCCCACATCATACAGCTACTGCACATCACCTGCCCAGCCATCTCTATTTAGTTAATTACTTTATTACTTTATCTCAATTTATGAGTTAAATACTTTCTAATACTTCTCTGCTATGGTCCTTTCAAATAACCAATTAATAGATAAATAAAAAAAGAAAGTAAATTTTTAACCAATTACACAATACAGAAGAAATAGAAAAAGTATAAAAACCTTACCTTACCAACACACCACAGAGTCCTTTTTTTTTGGTTAGAGGAGGAGGGCGGGTGGGAGACACTACACGTTTAGTGTCTCCGATTCAGCCGCTGCCCAAATATATTCCTGGCAGCCCCCTGGTCCTCACTGTTGCCTCTCCCTCTGCTGCTGAAAAATGAATTAAATTTCATCTCCTGAGTCCATTGATAGATCAAGAGCTTTATTCACATCCTGTTGTTTGTTTCTGTTTTATCTCCATACTACTTTGCCTCCACTCTTTAGAGAAAGGGGAAACATGGGAAGTCAGAAGTTGCATCCAGGACCTCTATCAATTGGAGTGGAGAGCTTTCTAATAGATTTTTTCTTTGACTTTGCAAACTTGATTTAGAAGATGTTGTCAGTCCTGCCTCTTTACCCATTTTTTCTGTTGTAGGTGGAGGGAAGGTTTGGTGTTGTGTTGGAAGTTAGCGTTACATTTCGTTCACTTTAACCATTCTTCCCCCAGCCACTCACCTCCAGTCCACAGATGAGTGGAATGGCAGCTTTAGCTGCAGCAGCTGCCGCTACTCAGAAGATTCCTTCCAGCACAGCGGTTACCTCAGTTGGACTTCATCCTAGCACAACAGTGGTAAAAACAATGGCCATTGCTTCCGGAGTCAGTACCCTGGCGAGCACTGTGAAGGTAGCCACTCCATCAGTCATGGTATGTCATTTCTACAAAAGCTATTGTCAATAACTCATTTTTGTATCTCATTGTTTGGAGGGTTATGTGAAGTAGGATTCGCAGACTGGTTAACAGTGAATGTAGATTCTGCTTCCATGGCCATTATTGTCTTTATACTGGCCAATAAGATACTTGCGACACCCACAAGGAGAGAGGATTTTGAGCTCCCATAAAACATACCAAAAAGTGGAACTCACTGCCTCGATATCCAGCTGGATGTTATCACAGAGGACCACACAGGCTGTGCAAGTTCAGAAGACCTGTTGGAGAAGGGCAATAAATGCTGATCTTACTAGTGCTGGCCACTTCCTGAAAATTAGGGGATGGGAGAAAGAAAACAAAAAAATTGAAGCATTGAGTGCTTAGTGGAGTTTAAAACAGGCACTTTTACAACTCCAAGGTAAGAATACACACCCTATTTATGTAGAATACTTGAACTTGCAATGTTATCACCCACTCACTGCATTCCCAATCTTGTCTCATTGTACTGCCATTTGAAAAGTTAGGCATGTTATGTTAACCTGCCACATTTCTGTTGTCTTCCTGCGCTCAACAATTTTGCACAACCCAAAATCAGTATTGCAGTTTATATATATATATATATATCACAGTTCAGAGAGTGGAATGTGTAAAATAAATTTGAACGTCCACCAATCTTTGAACAACCCAGGTAACAAACGTGGATCTATAGGTCCATATTGTTTTGTATTACACTGGATGATCACGACCTGATTGCTTTGCTTTGGGGGTTTGTTGGGCTGTGTTTTGGACGTGGTGGTATAGCCGCAGTATGTTATCAAAAATCCTTTGAACATGATATCTTCATGTCACTGTTTATCTCCCAACCTGAATTTGCATCTGCTTTCCAGGTCAACACACCAGCAACCTCAATGCTGAAGACGGCTGCTGCCCAGTTAGTGACACCCACTCATGCTGCCACTTCTACTGCTTCAGCTAGACCCATTATCACAGTGCACAAATCAGGAACAGTCACTGTGGCTCAGCAGGCACAAGTGGTGACCACCGTGGTGGGTGGAGTCACAAAAACCATTACACTAGTCAAGAGCCCTATTTCCATGGCAGGAGGAAGCACATTGGTAAGGATGTCGACATTAGATTGTGTTCCGGTTTGTTTTATCAGCATCATAATTAATAAGTTTGGGTATGTTCTGTGTTATTGATAGGAGAATAAGATATTTTGTTGTGTTTTTTTAAATAATGACTCTTTACTCTTTTTTAAAGCAGTATTCTCACAGGCTTTGAAAGTCCTCTGAAACTAGTCCGTACATATGTGCTGTTGCTACATATTGGGACTGTTTTTGTGTTGCTGAATGCGTTTTCTGATCTTACAATCTGTCCAAACATCAGACACTATTTTGTTTTCTAACCTGTATCATTTTTGCATTCTGTTGTGTAGCCACTGCCTTAAATCACCATTCAGAGTCATGATGGGTCTCATGCCATAAAGTCCATGGTAACTCTCTGCGAAAGAATTCAATCAGTCTCGTTTCCCTGCTCTATCTCCAAAGCACTGCAAGTTTATTTCTCCCAAGTGCCTAACAAATTTCTTTTTGAAATAATTGTCTCCAATTCCAGAGTCTTCAGTGTGAGTTCCCAACCTAAATAAAAACTGAAAGAACTGTGGATGCTGTAAGTCGGGAACAAAAATAGAAGTTGCTGGAAAAGCTCAGAAAAAAATCAGTGTTAATGTTTTGGGTCCAGTGACCCTTCCTCAGAACTGGAGAAGACCCTTCTGAGGAAAGGTCACCAGACCCAAAACATTAATTCTGATTTTTTTTTCTTCGCAAATGCTGCCAGATCTGCTGAGCTTTTCCAGCAACTTCTGTTTTTGTCCCAGTTTTTACTGCTTACTGCATGAAAAGCTTTCTCTCGCATCTCCTGTATCTCTTGCCCAAAACCATAAATCTGACTATTCAATTCTTTGTAACATCAGCTGATGGGTACAAATTTTGTCTACCTTATCTGAATCTGATAGTAAAATGGTAGACCTCTATCAAATCACCTGGCAATCTCCTTGGCTCCAAGGAAAATAACTCAATTTTCTCCAACCTAACCTTGTAAATAAAATACTGCATCCCTGGAGCCATGCTGAAAATTTCCTGTGCAGCCTCTCATCCTTCCAATGTATAGTGATAAGAGCTAGAGACAGTACTGTACTATTGTTGGTTTTACCTGTGACAGTGACTGTGTTACATCTCGTTTAAATGGCCATTATTAATAATTCAACTTCCTGAGTGTCAACAGGCTATTTCATCGTAGGGAAAAAGACTGATCTTCTCCCCCTCTGAACTCATCCCTGCAATAAAAGCAGTGTCTGAGGTTCTTTAACCTCCTCTTCAAGAGATGCTTGAGTGAATTGTTGTAGGAAAATATATTCTGACTGTATCTCCAATTAGCTGCAATAAGGAAGTCAGTCACTTTCATCTCTGGGCACAAAACTCGTGAGAAATGGGATTATGTGCAAAGGGTGATCATCTCCAAAAATAAATTGAAAGCATATATTACTAAAGGGCAAGTCGTTTTAAAATGACAAATTTCAAAATCAAACTGTTGAAAAGCCATAGAGTCATACAGCATGGAAACAGACCCTATGGCTCAATTCATCCATCCTGGCCAAGTTTCCCAAACTAAACTAGTTGCACTTGCCTGTGTTTGGCTAACTATGTTTTTGAACTTCCTTATTGATGTACCTGTCCAAATGTCTTTTAACATTGTAACCATAACTATAACGGCATAGAGTTCATCTGGGAGTTCATTCCACATAAAAACCACTCTCTGTGTGAAAAAGTTGACCTTAGGCTCCCCTTTAAATCGTCCTCCTCTCACATTAAAAATATGTCCTGTAGCTTTGAACTCCCTCACCCTAGGGAAAAGACCTTTGCTATTTGCTTTATCTATGCTCCTCAAGATCTTATAAACCTCAAAGATCACCCCCCAACCTCATATGCTGCAGTGGGAGAAAAAATTTCCCAGTCTATCCAGCCTTTCCTTCTATCTCAAAGCCCCCAGTCTCAGCAACATCATAAATCATTTCTGAACCATTTTTGTGTTGCTTTAAAGTGTCCTTTTTGTGAGCTTCCTAATTTTTAATACATTGCCCGAGGCGCAGAACTGTTGTGGTGCCATTTGGCCAGTCGTGTCTGTACCGTTATGTTCTCGTAAACCTCTTTTCCAATGCATTCACATCCTTCCTAAAGTGTAGCGTCCAGAAATATACATAATATTCTGTAGAAACAGAAAATGGGAACAGAAGTAGGCGTTTTGGGCCTTTTGAGCCTGCCCTGCCATTTAATATGATCATGGCTGATCATCCCACTCAGTACCTGGTAAGCCTTTTCTGTACCCTCTCCAAAGCATTCACATCCTTCTGGTAGTGTGGTGACCAGAACTCTATGCAATATTCCAAGTGTGGCCTAACTAAAGTTTTATGAAGTTGCAGCATAACTTGTCTATCCTTGTACTCAATGCCCCTTCCAATGAAGGCAAGCATGCCCTAGGCTTTGTTTAACTATGTTATGTACCTGAACTGCCACCTTCAGTGATCTGTGGACCTGCATGCCCAGATCCCTCTGCATATCAATACTCCTAAGGGTTCAGCCATTCATTGTATAATTTCCACCTGTACTTGACCTTCCAAAATGCATCACCTCACATTTGCATGGATTAAACTCCATCTGCCAATTTCTGCCCATGCCCCCAACAGATATATCCTGCTGTATCCTCTGACAATCCTCCTCACTGTCCGCAACTCTTCCAATCTTTGTATCATCCTCAAACTTACTAATTAGACCAGCTACATTTTCCTCCAAATCATTTATGTAGATCATGAACAGCAGAGGTCCCAGCACTGATTCCTGTGGAACACCACTAGTCATAGCCCTCCATTCTGAAAAGCATCCTTCCACCTTTACCCTCTGTCTCCTATGATTACGCCAGTTCTGTATCCATCTTTCCAGCTCACCCCGATACCATGTGACTTCACCTTTTGTACTAGTCTGTCATGAGGGACCTTATCAGAGGCTTTACTGAAGTTCATGTAGATAACATCAACTACTTTTCCCTTGTCAATCATTTTCATCCTCCTCAAAAAGCTTTATCAAGTTAGTGAGGCACGACCTCCCCTACACAAAACCATGCTGTCTATCGCTAATAAGTCCATTCACTTCTAAATGCATATAGGTCTTGTCCCTGAGAATCTTTTCCAATAATTTCCCAACTGCTGATATGAGACTCTCAGACCTGTGATTTCTAGAATTATCCCTGCTATCCTTAAATAGTGGGAGAACATTGGGTATTCTCCAGTCCTCTGGGAATTTACCTGTGGCTAAAGAGGATACACAGATGTCTGTCAGTGCTCCAGCAATTTGTTCTCTTGCATTCCTCAATATTCTGAGATAGATCCCATCAGGACCTGAGGACTTATCTACCTTCATACTCTTCAAGATGCACAACACTTTTATTCCTTATTAATAACAACTGGGCTTAGAAACTCGACACTTCCCTTCCCTCAGATCATCCTCCACCAATTCCTTCTCTTTGGTGAATATTGATACAAAGTATTCTTTAGGACCTCACCTATCACTTCTGGCTCCACACATAGAATCCCTCTTTTGACCTTCAGTGGGCCAACCCTTTCCCTGGCTACCCTCTTGCTTTTTATATATGTATAAAATGCCTTGGAAGTCTCCTTAATCCTATTTGCTGACGACTTTTCATGCCTTTTGTTGGCCCTTCTAATTCCTTGTTTAAGTTCTTTACTACTTTCCTTATATTTCAAGAGCTTTGTCAGTTCCGATCCTCTCAAACCTTGCGTATGCTTACTTTTCCTTTCTGACCAAGGTAGTAACATCGCTGGTCATCCAAGGTTCACACAACTTGCCATACCTATCCTTCATTCTCGCAGGAATGAGCTGCTGCTGAACTCTTATCAACTGCCATTTGAAACACTCCCACGTGTCCAATATAGATTTACCCTCAAACACCCACCTCCAAGCAAAATTCTCCTGTTCCTGCCCAATATTGTTGTAGCTCGTCTTCCCCCAGTTTAACACCTTCACGCGAGGACTGCTGTTACCCCTATTCATGAGTAGCTTAAAACTCGTTGTATTATGGTCATTCCTCTTGAAATGCTTATTTGCTTATACATTCGTGAAATGTGGGAATTGCTGGCTCGCCCAACATTTCTTGCCCTACCATAAATACCCTTGAGAACGTGGTGGTAAACTTGAACCATTGCAGTCCATATGGTGTATGCGTTCAGTACTGTTAGAGAGGAAGTTCTAGGATTTTGACTGAAATGTCAAAGCCAGTGGTGAAGATCAATCTTCCACTTTTGTTTTAATTTTCTTTCATGGAATGAGAGTGTCACTGGCAAGACCAGCATTTGTTGCTCATCCCTAGTTGCTCTTGAATTGAGTGCCCTGCCACATTACTTGAGAGAGCAATTTGAGTCAGCCACATTGCTGTCTGGCATCGTAGGCAGAAAGGTCAGGTGAGGACAGTGAATTTCCTTCAAAACATGTTTAGACAGCCAGATGGCTTTTTACAACAATTGATGGTAGATTCATGGTCATGATCGCTATGATTAGCTTCATAGTCAAAATCTAATTAATTGAACTTAAATGTCACCTGCTGCCATGGTGCAATTTGAACCCATTTTCCTTAGTATTAGCCTGGGCCTCCGGATTGCTAATTCAATGACATTACAAATATATTGCAACGTTGCCTTGATCAAGGTGGAAACTGTGTACTCCTCAGCATGAACCAAGCAAAAGATCAGGAAAGCTTCCCAGATTTAACTCATCCTTGGTGACATTGTGGTGGAGGTTCTCATGTGGTCAGCTAGATTGATGGAGCATCCAGGATTCCTACTTCTAACTCATGTAGCAAATCATTGTGCAATGCAGGAGGGACAATTTGTTGACTTCACTGTAATGCAGTCCACCGTAGAATAGCCTGTTGTCACTGACTTTTCTTGTTTGTGGTATGAACTGTTATTACTTGGGTACTCGTACCAGTGACACTTTTTAATCCAATAAGATTTTCTGCTCCCAGGGGATAAGGGAACCAGGGAGCAAATGCAAACATTATGTTGCACACACTTGGGAAACAAAATATCTTGCTTTTTGACATGGTAATGGTGACCTGGTAGTGTACGTGTGACTACACAACAGTAGTAGTCCTAGAATTGAGCGACAGAATTTATACTTAGAAATTTTAATACGTGAGTATTTAGACAAGAGATTTCACAAAGGTAAAATTACTTATGTAGTTTGTGGTGGCTTAACAAGGGAGGGTCAGGTAAACAAGGAGTTCACATTGGTAATTACGAAGAAAAATAACATAAGGATGAATAGCACTGGAGGTGAGACTTGGTATTTGTACTGCAATTAAGTGTCTTTTGGATGGTTAATGTAATGATTTCCCCAGTATCTGACTAATGTTGTAGTTTTCCTCTTCTCATCCTAGATTTCCAACCTGGGAAAAGTGCTAACTCTGCAGGCTAAACCAGGGCAGCAGGCCACCATCTCAGCCCCAGCCTCCACTGGGCCACTCACGCAGATCTTCCAGGTTAGCGTTACATTACACTACACATGGTTGCTGTGGTCTACAGGTTAACATTAGGCTTTTTTTAAAATCACCTTTACTGGAAAACGTTATTATTTATATTAGACGTGGGAGTTGCAACAACTTTTGTGAAACAAACAACAAGCTTGATGGATCATCTGGTCTTTTCCTCGCCATCAATTTTGTGTGGGTAACATATGGTGAAGGTGCACTAAAACAAGTGGATTTGCATGTCCCTTGAATCATTGCTGAAGTAATTACAACCCACAACTCTTCAGACGTCAAGAGTATTTCGTTTGTGTGCCTTTTCCATTAGCCTTGGGTATCACAGAATCCATGTGTTCCCTTGGCTTCCCAGCCGTCTTTATTTCTCTTCACTGAGATTTATAGACCAATTGGATGTGGAAATGGCAAACTGCTAGTATGCCAACTGGCTCCAACCACACGTCAGAAGGTAATCCGTTTCTGTTTGTTTCAGAAAGAAACTTGCCTTACATCCAGGAAACTTAATTTGTTACAAAACAGCAGTTCAAGCAATATGAACACTGAGCCAATTCAGTGACAAAAAATTGAATGGTCTTTTGACTTGTATGAGATTCCTAAAGAGATTATGTAAACTCCACTTTCGAATATGTTGATAGACCTATCCAGATTATTCTCAAGTTATGCAGTGTAAAGCTTGTGTAGGAAACCTAAATAATTCCTAACATGTTTGCTTAAATGCATAAGTTGCAAACAATTAAAATTTTAGGGTGTTTTGGCAGATGGTGAAACTTTTTGTCAGGAGTTAACTTTTACACCTGTTTCGTGTGTTGGAGGAGATTTAAAAAATTGAAACAAAGATCCTTTATACACATTGTCAGGCTTCTGAGAGGAATGTTTGTCCAGATTGCAAATTATATTGAGTAGTTGGGTTTGTTCTGCAATATAGCTAATGGGTTTGTTTTTGAATTCATCAGACCAAAGGTCAACTGCCTCCAGGAGCTACCATTTTGAAACTTGTTACTTCAGCAGATGGGAAGCCTGCCACCATCATCACCACCTCACAGGCTGGAAATGTGGGCCTTAAGCAGACTTTCGTCAGCCTCAGCAATGTGTCACCTGCCTCTTCAAAACCAGCGACCACCATTCTCAAAACCATCCCTATGTCTGCACTTATTTCACAGCCCGGAACTACGGGTATAGACCAGAGAAAAGCACTGATCTGTCTATTATAACTAATTATGGGATGATGCATTTGAAAGGAGGAATGAGGAAGCCACTTGCTTCTTGGAAAACAAGTGCTTAAATGGTGTACAGAAGAAAAGCAATCTGGGGAAACAGATTTGCAAATCATTGAAATAGCAGTGCAGGTTAATGAGGCAATACAAATGCATCAAAGCACGGGGATTAATTTCTATGGGAATTTAATTGAGAAGCAGTGAATTTATGTTCAATTGTATAGAACTTTGGTTAGACTACGCTTAAAATACTTTAAGTGGCGGTGGTGTCTATAATCACAAAAACGAAGATGGCATTGGAGCATGTGCCAGTTCTGAGAGGGTTTAACTTTTTGGAATAGATTCAACAGATCGGATTTCTTGTTTTTCCCCTCTAGAAAATAGATTGATAGGTGACCTGGTGGTGGTTTTTAAAATACTGAACGGGCCAAAAGGGCTAGACTTAAAGATGCTAAACTGATTAGTGCACAGTTTATAATGCACAAATATATATGTTTGCCCTTCTAAGTATCAGAAACCTCATGCACAAGTACATACATGCACACACCAGGTAAAGGGACAAAAGTGATTGCTTTCTGCAAAGATTAACAAAAAAAGCATTTTGGCCAATTAGTCTTGATTCTTTGAGGGTGAAAAACTGCTATCATAAGATGTGCACCTACCAGGAAATGCCTGGTTTAAAAAGATGTTCTAGTGTCCTTTTGTTCACCTTTTTCAAAAACAAAATTGTGTATCCTTGATCCTTAAACTCTTGTTCACAAAAATGATTAAATATGAAGTTTTCATAACACCCTTTTTTTTTGGGGGGATAGAACATAGAACATAGAACATTACAGCGCAGTACAGGCCCTTCGGCCCTCGATGTTGCGCCGACCTGTGAAACCAATCTGAAGCCCATCTAACCTAAACTATTCCATTATCATCCATATGTTTATCCAATGACCATTTAAATGCCCTTAAAGTTGGCGAGTCTACTATTTTTGCAGGCAGGGCATTCCACGCCCTTACTACTCTCTGAGTAAAGAACCTACCTCTGATATCTGTCCTATATCTATCACCCCTCAATTTAAAGCTATGTCCCCTCGTGCTAGCCATCACCATCCGAGGAAAAAGGCTCCCACTGTCCACCCTATCTAATCCTCTGATCATCTTGTATGTCTCTATCAAGTCACCTCTTAACCTTCTTCTCTCTAACGAAAACAGCCTCAAGACCCTCAGCCTTTCCTCATAAGACCTTCCCTCCATACCAGGCAACATCCTGGTAAATCTCCTCTGCACCCTTTCCAATGCTTCCACATCGTTCCTATAATGCAGTGACCAGAACTGTATGCGATACTCCAAGTGCGGCCGCACCAGAGTTTTGTACAGCTGCAACATGACCTCATGGCTCCGAAACTCAATCCCTCTACCAATAAAACCTAACATACTGTACGCCTTCTTAACAACGCTATCAACCTGGGTGGCAACTTTCAGTGATCTATGCACATGGACACCGAGATCTTTCTGCGCATCCACACTACCAAGAATCTTACCATTAGCCCAGTACTCTGTATTCCTGTTACTCCTTCCAAAGTGAATCACCTCACACTTTTCCGCATTAAACTCCATTTGCCACCTCTCAGCCCAGCTCTGCAACTTATCTATGTCCCTCTGTAACCTGCAACATCCTTCCGCACTATCCACAACTCCACCGACTTTGGTGTCATCCGCAAATTTACTAACCCAAGAACAGATAAGGGAGAGTGGAGGAGTGTTGTAGCCATTACAGGAAATGAAATGCCATTGACAGCAATAGAAACAACACATGCCCAAAAACATTAAATTCTAATTCCTCTTTAAGCCTGGGAACTCCATCAAAACTTGTACTTTCTCTGTTCTTGACAGCACTTGCTTTGCCCTAAGTCAGTTATCCTTGCTTTTGCAAACTCGATTTTGGCAAAATTTATCACTAACAGGTTGTAACTTTCTAAATAGAGTTTCTAATTGATTCAAGTGGCTATTCTAACAGTCACTGCATGCCAGTATATCATGAAGGTAAACCATGCAGTTAAGAACGCAGGCTACGATTTAAAATCATTAACCTTTGGAAAATGGCTGTGGCATTTTTTAAAGCCTGAATGACATAATTCAGCATTGGAAAGTACCATTCAGTGTGACAAGGGCTGATATCTCCTTAGCTTGAAGTGTAAAGGAACCTGCCAGTATCGTTGAACAAATCTACTTTGGTAAGAAATGTGGCACTGCCAACTTATTAATGCAGTGCTTCAAGCAAGGAATTGGATCGCAAATTGTCTTTGTTGGTATATTGACCTTTCTGTAGTTTTGCAGAATCTAGTTGAGCTATCAGGTATTAGGCACACACATGACTGGGCATCTCCAGCTTCTTTGATTGGGTTCAAATAGGTGGTTTCCTAACATATATTGGATTTCTACTTCTACCTAGGCATGTTTCTTTAGACCTAAATAATAAGGATACTATTTTGTAGGAGATGATTCCCCTGCATCCATATAATATATGGATAAAGCTGTAGGAATGCCGGCAGATTCCTTTTTAAATTCGATTTGATTTAGTACTGTCACGTTTACCAAGGTACAGTGAAAAGTGTTGTCTTACTTGCTTTGCAGGCAGATCGTACTATACAAGCACCCTTGTTAGGTGTCCTTGTTCTGTTCAGCTAAATATAAAAGTGTGGTGTCTAACCTCCTGAATAGTTCAATGTTAGCTTACTGGATAGTAGATGGATCAATCTGGAAATTGTTCAGATCTCCTCCTATCTCATTTTCACTTGGCCTTTCATCCCCGACCATCTTTACTACCTGGCACATGTACGTATCCTCCTCCCAATGGTGGTATTTTTCAACATATTGATATGATTCGGACTGTTTCTTTCCAGCAATCTAAAGTATAAGTCAAATTGTTTGCTTAACCAATCTTCTTAATTGCCTTATGTGAACCATTGAACTGAGCTTTCAATGGTTCACCTTGCAAAGGTTACTACAAAACTGCATCACCTGGTTAAAATATTCAGGCATACATATCCGCTAATTCTTCATGGTTGTGAAGCTTCAAAGATTTCCTGAGCCGGTGGCGGCACGGTGGCTCAGTGGTTAGCACTGCTGCCTCACAGCGCCAGGGACCCGGGTTCAATTCCACCCTTGGGTGACTGTCTGTGTGGAGTTTGCACGTTCTCCCCATGTCTGCGTGGGTTTCCTCCGGGTGCTCCGGTTTCCTCCCACAGTTCAAAGATGTGCAGGTTAGGTGGATTGGCCACGCTAAATTGCCTGTAGTGTTCAAGGGATGCCTAGATTAGGGGGGGTTAAAGGGGGATGGGTCTGGGTGGAATGCTCTGAGAGTCGGTGTGAACTTGTTGGGTCAAAGGACCTTTTTCCACACTGTAGGGATTCCATGATCCCACTTTTCAGACTTCCAGAAGCTGTTCTCTGAACGTGGGCATGTAATCTATTGGAAGATTTGTTTGTCTGTACTAAGACCTTTCTTTGATTAGTTTGAGGATCATCTTATCTCATGTCCATGAACTTATTCAAAAGGAAAACGACTGGTAGGTTCATTAGGTGACTTTCAAGTGGGAAACAAAGGAAATTCCAGTCCTTTATCTCAATCCTGGGGATATTAATAACATACTGTTGAACGTTGTTTTTATGATTTGATGGTACCGTTCTAAAACTCTTGTGTCTGTGGATGGTATGCTGAAAACATTAACTGTTTTATGCCCAGATTACTCATCATTTTCTGACAAGGTTTAAGCATAAAATTGGAACCTTTGTCCGACTGGATGTCTGTCAGTAATCCATACTGAGCAAAGAACTGAGTAACTTTGTTACCATTCCCTTAATGGTGATTGCTGTCAAGGGAATGTTCTCTCGGAACTAACTCGGCGTATCTATAACAGCAGAGAATACCTGTGGGCCCCTGTTTTTGGTAAGGGTCCTGCTCTTGGAAAACAGTCATATCAGACTTGAAAATTTAGTTCTCTTTCTTTCTCCACTGATGCTGCCCCATGTGCTGAGACTCTCCAGCATTTTCTGTCTTTCTTTGGTAATAGAGGTCCCTCTTTGATTGTATGTTGTGGTTTGCCCACTATCTGTCACACATGGCATAGTTAACAAAACTGCACCATCTTCCTGTGAAGACCAGACTAATTAAAATTTTGAGACAACAAGGTGCAGGGCTGGATGAACACAGCAGGCCAAGCAGCATCATAGGAGCAATTAAGATTTCGATTTGTGTTTACTTGGTACTTCTGAATTTCTGCATACTCTGCCTGAGGAAGTTTGTGGGCTGTCCTTAATATTTCTTGACAATATTTGGCCAGAACCACTATCTGGTGAATGACCATCTACTGTTCATCTGCAAGACACAAGTGTAGGGCTCGCACTGGGTCATGTGATTTCTGCCCCAAGTTCTGCCTTTCGCATCACTGGACCCATAATAGGGATCATTCTCAAGAAGCAGATGAACAGCTGAGAAGCTTTTTGTTCTTTGAGCTGGCTTCTCCCCAACTAGTCTGATCAATATCCAAAGCAGAAGTTGGAACCTGATGACTGTAGATATTTTTTAATCGACTTGCTCAGAATTATTATTCTACACCACTGGAGCAGGTGGGACTTGAACCTGGCCTCCTGGCTCATAGATATGAAAAGGCTATCACCACCACAAGAGCTCTAAGTCTTGACAGTTGTAAACTTAGGCAGGTGGTCTCCATTGAACTAAGTTATCTGCTGATTTGTGACTACCAAGCAATATCTTATTTTAAAATAAAGTTTCACTATCCTTTTGATTTATTTTTTAAAAAACAACTCACTGTCCAGATTCTGCAAACTAATGTCTACAAAACAAATTATTAAATATCAAGCTTTCCTAACATTTCTTTAGAAGAAATCTAAACAAGGGAGCATAAGGAATTGCAAAAGATTAGTATGCAGATACAATAAGTAGTTAGGATAACTAATAGAATATTATTGTTTATTGCGACAGGAGTTGTATCCAAAAGTTAATTCTGCTTCAGCTATACGTGGCATTGATGAGGCCACGTTTGGAGTACTGTGTACAGCATTTTCTTCTTATTATCAAAATCCTGGTTAGACTACACTTGGAATATTGTGTTCAGTTCTGGTCGCCTCATTATAGGAAGGATGTGGAAGCTTCAGAGAGGGTGCAGAGGAGATTTATCAGGATGCTGCCTGGACTGGAGGGCAGGTCCTATGAGGAAAGGTTGAGGGAGCTAGGACTTTTCTCATTGGAGCGAAGAAGGATGAGAGGTGACTTGATAGAGGTGTACAAGATGATGAGAGGCATAGATAGGGTGGATAGTCAGAGACTTCGTCCCAGGGCGGAAATGATTATTACGAGGGGGCATAATTTTAAGGTGATTGGAGGAAGGTATAGGAGAGATGTCAGAGGTAGGCTCTTTACACAGAGAGTGGTGGCTACGTGGAATGCACTGCCGGCAGTGGTAGTGGAGTGAGATACATTAGAGACATTTAAGCGACTCTTGGATAGGCACATGGATGATAATATAATGTAAGGTATGCAGGGTAGTTGATCTTAGCAGCATAATAGGTTGGCACAACATTGTGGGCCGAAGGGCCTGTACTGTGCTGAACTGTTCTATGTTCTAAAATAAAGTAAATACGTTGAAAGCAGTGAAGTATAAAACACCGGCATCGCCCTATTGGTTCAGTTGGTCTGTTTCTGTTGTAATACTGTGTACTACACCAATAATGTGCACTTTTTAAACTTTCAGTCTAAAATTTGCACTTTGTAATCTACATTCTACTTTGTCATATCTTCCTTTAAATCTTTGAGGTGGGAACAAGCTAAGCAGCCAGTCTTTCATGAGAGTGTCACTTGGTTGGTGAGCAAGTGTTTTTTTTTCTTGGAAACTCTGAGTTTCTTTCTTTTAGTATTATCCCACATTGGTGTTGTACTCAGTCCAGATAGGCTGTTACGTTTCAACTGTATCCCATAAGAAGGCTTCTAATGAGATCTCATCTCATGATTTTAACTTGAGAGGCATATGCTACTGATTTGTATCATCTTTTATTTTAATCATCAAAAATATGTTTACCTAAACCTAGGTGAGACCTTTTTGGGACAGCCCTTGAAAGTATCTGAGACAGAACTTAGCTGCAAGTAGTTAGGTTGCCAAATATATATTACCTGCCAAATCTCTTGCCTGAATGATGGCAAGTTTCATGGAGTATAAGGGATTACACCTGACCCCATGTGGAACACCTCCGGAAAGTGGAAGTCAGTTTTGTACAGGAAATAGTGCTACGGCAAGAAAGTTGACATCACCCAGTCAATGGGGAGAGGAAAATTTTAAAAAGAAAACCAAGCCTGTCTTGTTTTGATTATTGCTTTTGAGGATGGAGGGACAAGGATTGGGGGTAGTTGAACAAGGTTGCAGTATTTGCTTATTTATTGTATGGGTTAAAATAACTGAAAGTTTTCTTTCAAACTAGATTTGTTCTTCTGGTTGACACATAATTTGATAGATGTTCAAATAGTTATTCCTCGAGCCAATGTTGCTAAATCAGGTTATCTGGTAATTATTTGTTTTGTTTTTTGTGGGTTCTTGGTCTATGTAAATTAGGTACTACCTTCCCTACGTAGCAACAAATGACTACACAGCAAACCTAAACAGAAGTTGCTGGAGAAAGTCGGCAGGTCTAGCAGCACCTGCAGACAGAAATCAGAATTAGAGTTTCTAGTCCAGTGTCCCTTCTTCACCTTCGTTCTGAAGAACGATCACTGGACTCTAAACCGTAACTCTGCGTTTTCAGTGTAGATGCTGCCAGACCTGCTGAATTTCTTCAGTTTCCGTCTTATTCGTCTATGGTTTAAACTAGACAAATACAATTGCAGTGTAATGTAGTAGGAATTTATGCCTGACTGTAGTGAGTGATGTTAATTTCATTGTATTTTCTGTGCCTTCTCTTTCAGGTGTCACAGGAAGTCCTGGTATGAAATCCCCAATTACCATCATCACCACAAAAGTAATGACCTCTGGAACTGGAACACCAACAAAATTCATCACTGCTGTACCCAAACTGCAGACGGGGCAACAGGGACTTACCCAGGTTAGTACAGGATGTGGACAGCAGTGAATCTTTTTTTTTTTTTTTTTTTTTTTGTTTAAGAATTCCTTCCTTGCCCATTTCCTCCAAAGGGAAAGAAGTATGGATAACAATCTCAAACACATTGTGTTAGGCACTTTTAAATATGCAGTGCACAAAACTGCTTTTTTTTTTGCAAAGAAGCCCAACTGCACAAGAGAGGCTTTTGTGTAGAAATTAGCCTAAGTTATGGAATATTCTAATTACTGGAGAAAGCTTGGAGAAATTCTTAGTGTGTACTTAAGAGTGTGAAGGCTACATGGCAGGGTGGTGAGATACAAAGTCCTGAACATTGTGGTGTCTGCACTGTTGGGCTATGGAGATGTTGATGTGAAATAAGTGGGTTGGAAATTTCCTGAATCGTCCATCAGTTCAAAGATTGGAAGTTGTTTCTGATATTTGCCACGATGGTCAACTTTTGTTTTTTCTTCTTTATAAGTCCAACAGAAACCATGCACCTAACAAATTTGGCAAGAAAATGTCTCATTTTTCTGATATTGGCACTAAATAACTCGATTATAGTAGGGTCCTTGATGCCAAATCTGCCAACGTTCCTGGAAAATGGGATTATGAGTCAGAAAGAGCTTCATCTTATTGTTTTTCATGATTTTGAGCATAGAAATGGGGTTGTTTTTGTATGTGCTCTTGCCTGCTTATGTAATTAAATGCCTTTTCTTTCTGCCAACTCCCTCTCCAGGTATTGCTGAAAGGTGCTGCAGGACAGCCTGGCACTATCCTGCGAACATTATCTGGAACACCAGTTACTGGAGTCAGACTGATCACTCCAGTAACTGTTTCTGCTGCCAAACCAGCACTTACAACTTTGGTAGTGAAAGGGACCACAGGTATGACAAATGCCATGTGTTGATAGCTTTTGTTAAGCGGTCTGCTGACACCATATACTTATTTATGTCTTGTTTCTTAAATGTTTTGCAACATTTATTACACTTAGAGTCAAAGGCACCAAGCAGTGATTTGTTGAGGGTTGGGCAAATTGAGCAAAGATGTGTTTTAAGCCATTTGCAAGACAAAGGGTTTTAAGGAGACGATTTTGAAGTGGCCCCAGTTGGCTATGGGTCAAATAGAAGGCAGAATTGAATGAATGCCAGAGTTGGGAGAATAAGATGGTGTGCTAGTATTTAAAATGTTGGGAAGATGCTTCCATTGGTAGGAGAGACTAGGACCTGAGGGCACAGCCTTGGAGTAAAGGGAAGACCTTTCAGAACTGAGATAAGGAGAAACTTCTTCAGCCAGAGTGGTGCGTCTATGGAATTTGCTGCCACAGAAGGCTGTGGAGGCCAGGTCATTGAGTACATTTAACACTGAGATGGATAGGTTCTTGATTATCAAGGGGATCAGGGATTACGGGGAGAAAGCGGGAGAATGGGGTTGAGGAACTTATCAGCCATGGTTGAATGACAGAGCAGATTCGATGGGCTGAATGGCCTAATTTCTGCTCCTATGAATTATGGTCTTATTATGGTCTAAAATTGGCAAAAGTTACAAAAGAAGGGAAGAATGAGGTTTTGTAAGGAATTGTGGAAGAATTTCAGGATTATAAACATAATGCAATGGCAAAATTTGGGAAAATAAAGAATGGAATGATTGATCAGTGTATGCATGGTGTGAGCACGGAGTATTGAAGACATCATGTCTTGAGGGCGGCACGGTGGCTCAGTGGTTAGCACTGCAGCCTCACGGCGCCAGGGACCCAGGTTCGATTCCAGCCTCGGGCGATTGTCAGTGCAGAGTTTTCACATTCTCCCCATAGGTTTCCTCCGGGTGCTCCGGTTTCCTCCCACAGTCCAAAGATGTGCAGGCTAGGTGGATTGTCCATGCTAAGTTGCCTGTAGTGTTCAGGGGTGTGTGGGTTATAGGGGGATGGGTCTGGGTGGGATGCTCCAAGGGTCGGTGTGGACTTGTTGGGCCGAAGGGCCTGTTTCCACACTGCAGGGATTCTATGATTCTATGAGTTAGGACCTGGCTGAAGGCATCAGTAGAGCCAAATATTGTTTTAGAAGTGAAAGCATCCTTTCTTGATGCCTTGGCTGAGAAGTCAGTGGTACAGATATGCTCACTACATTGGTGTGGATACATGTGGAATCAAGTGATAGTGATACCATGGATAAATGACACTGGAGCATGTAAAATGATTAAATTCCGCAAAGGTTGAGGGGAACAAGAATGAGGTACCACAGTGATTCTGAAAGAAAGGCATTTATGACCTTGAAAAAAGCAGTTCTAGTACAGAACTGAAAAGAAAAGGAAGAATTATAAAATGATACGACATTATGTGCGGATGATGCTAGGTGGTGACAAATCTTTAAGAATCTGAAAGGGGTGGGAAGTTGACCATTGTCCTTTCCGATAAATCCGCCAAAGTAATCAAAAACAATTTGTTTTTTCGAGTAAGGTGAATGGATCCTGAGTAAAGGAAATCACTTCCTGCCACCCCCGGGTCTTGAACTGAAAGTCATGAAACGAGTGGTGAAATAGGAGAGGATTGAATGCGTCTTGTTGAAAATTTGAACTTAGAATATTGCTGGGGAGCTGATATAGGGGAGAAAAGCACAATGAGTAGCTTTTTCCAAAGCTGAAGAAAATCCATTAGTTCTGTAGACTTAAACTTGCAGGTGTGAAAGGCTTGGAGCATATGAATGGATCGAAAGAGGTGCGTTATAATTGAGAAAATATGTGAGGGTAGTCCTTTTCTGTCATTGAGTGATACAGTATGGAAACAGACCCTTCGGCTCATGCTGACCGTGGTGCTTACTCAGCTAATTCCAATTGTCCGCATTTGGTCCATATCCCTCTAAACCCTTCCCATTCATGTACCTTTCCAAATGTTGCTATCGTAGCTACCTCAACCACCACCTCTCGCAGCCCAGTCTACATACGCACCACTCTCTGCGTGAAGAAGTTGCCCCTCGGGTCCTCCTTAAATCTTTCCCCTCTCACCTTGAACCTGCGTGCTCTAATTTTCAGTTCCCCATTCCTGGGAAAAAGACTATATGCATTCATCCTATCTATGCCCCTCATGATTTTATACACCTCAATAAGGTCACCCCTCATTCTCCTATGTTCCAAGAAATAAAGCCCTAGCTTGACCAACCTCTCACTATAACTCATGCCGACTAATCCTGGCAACATCCTTGTACATCTTCTTTGCACACTTTCCAGTTTAACTATGTCTTTCCTATAAACAGCGTGACCAAAACTGTGCCTGATACTCCAAGTGCAGCCTCACCAACGACTTATACAACTGTAACATCATGTCCCAACTCCTATACTCAGTGCCTCAACTGATTAAGGCCAGCATGCTAAATGCCTTCTTCGCCACCCAATCCACCTGTGATGCCGCTCTCAACGAACTATGCACTTGTACTCCTAGGTCCCTCTGTTCCACAACACCTCTCGGGGCCATTTACCACATAGGTCCTACCTTGGTTTGACTTTCCAAAGTGCAGTCTTCACACTTATTGAATTGTATTGCAATTGTATTTGCCAATCCTCAGCCCACTTCCCCATCTGATCAAGACCCCTCTGTAATTTTTGATAACTTTCCCCGCTATCAACAATACCTCCTAATTTGTATCATCGCAAATTTACTAATCATTCGGCCGGGACATTCACATCCAGATCATTTATGTAAATAACAAACAACAAAGGTCCCAGCACCAACCCGTGGCACACCTCTAGTCACAGGCCTCCAGTCCGAGAAGCAACCTTCAACCATCACCCTCTGCTTCCTACCATCAAGCCAATTTTGAGTCCAATTAGCTAGCTCTCCCTGGATCCCATGTGACCTAACCTTCATGAGTAGCCTGCTATGCAGGACCTTGTCAAAGGCCTTGCTAAAGTCCACATAGACAGCTTCCTCTGCCCTGCCCTCATCTATCCTCCTGGTACCTCATCAAAAAAGCTCTAAAAGATTTGTCAGACATGACTTCCTGTGCACCAATCCATTCTGACTATCCCTAATCAGACCTTGACTATTCAAATATTGGTTGATCCTGTCCATCAGTATCCTCTGCAATAACTTGCCTACCACTGATGTCAAACTCACTGGCCTGTAGTTCCCTGGTTTGTCTTTGCTACCTTTCTTAAACAATAGAAGAACATTAGCCGTTCTCCAGTCTTCCGTGGCTAAAGATGAAGGAAAAATCTCTAAGAGCCTCTGTAACTTCTCTAGCCTCCCACAACGTCCAAGGATGGATGGACTTGATCAGGCCCAGGGGATTTATCCACTTTAATGTGCTTTAAGGCTGCAAACACCTGTCCGGTAATATGTATGTAGTCCAAAACATCTCCACCTGTTTCCCTTATTTCCTTAGCTGTCCAAATTAGCCCAGAGATGTAGGGAAGATTTGACCACATTTGTGCAGAGTCATAGTCGTACAGCATGGAAACAGACCCTTTTGTCCAACTTGCCCATGCCAAACAAGTTTCCCTAACTAAACTAGTCTTACTTGCCTATGTTTGGTCTATATCCCTCTAAACCTATCCTATTCATGTACCAGGTACAATCCAGCCACCCTCCCTTTTGAGTTGTTTCTCTTCGAGAAATGTGGGCATCACTGGCTGGCCCAGCATTTCTTGCTCATTCCTAGTTCCCATTGGGAAGGCAATAGTGAGTTGCCTTCTTGAAACATGGCAGTCTTTTTCTGGTGTAGATACACCCACAATGTCATTGCAGCGAAGGAGTCCTGGGATTTTCATACTGCAATACTGAAGGAATGGCATTATAAATCTAAGTCAGGATGATGAGTGCCTTGGAGAGGAATTTGTAGATGATGTTCCCATTTATCTGCTGCATTTCACTTCTAGAGGGTGATATTCATGGCTATCAAACAAGCCTTGCTGAATTCGTGCAGTGTATCTTGTTAATAGTGTACACTGCTGCTACTGAGCATCGGCTGAGAAGGGAGTGAATGTGGTGTCAGTCAATTGGTCTGCTTTGTCCTGGATTGTGTAAGTTATCTGGAGTCTTATTGGAACTGCACTCATCCAGGCAAATGAAGAGTATTCCATCACGCTCTTGACTTGTTCCTTGTAAATGGTACATAGGTCTTGGCAAGTCAGGTGGTGACTTACCTGCAGCAGGATTTCTAGATTCTGATCTCCACTGGTAGTCACATTATTTGTATAGCTAGTCCAGTTCAATTTCTTATGGGAAATCCACACCCCCCTCAAACCCCTGGATATTAATTATTTGGGGATTCAGCCATGGTAATGCGATTTGAGAGTTTATGGCACGATTCTTAGATTTTCTTCTGCTGGAGATGGTTATTGCCAGGCACTTGTGTAGCACGATTGTTGTCGGTTGTCAACCTAAGCGTGGATATTGCCCAGGTTTTGCTGCATTTGGGCATAGACTGCTTTAGTATCTGAGGAGTCATGAGTGGTGTTAAACATTGTGCAAACTTCAGCGAACATCCTGATTTCTGACCTTATGACAAAGGGAAGATAATTAATTGACAAAGCAACTGAAGGTGGTTGGATCTAGGGCACTCGTGGAACTCCTGAAGAGATATCCTTGAGCTGAGATGACTAACTTTCCACAACAACAACCATGAACCGTTGTGTTTGTGGTGGTTGTGGTGGTGGTGGTGGTCGTTGTTATGACAGCCAGTAGATTTTCTTCAAGTCCCTTCGACTCTTATTTGACTCTTAACTTTGTTTGAACTAAGGGACCCTTGCAGAGCCTAGTTTGAGCATCAGTTTATGCTAAGCAAGTGTTGCTCATCAGTACTGTTGATGACCCAGTGTACTGATGGCCAAGAGTAGACTGATGTGGCTGTAATTAGCCAGGGTGTATTTGTCCTGCTGTTTGAGGGCATATCTGGGCAATTTTCCACAGGAAGGTGATGGCCTAGTGGTATTATGGCTGGACTGTTAATCCAGAGACACAGATAACGTTCTGTGGACCTAAGTTCAAATCCCACCAAGCAAATGGGGAATTTGAATTCAATGAAAAAAACTGAATTAAGACTCTAATGTTGACCATGAATCCGTTGCCGATTGTGGAAAAATCCCATCTGGTTCACTAATGTCCTTTAGGGAAGGAAACTGCCATCCTTACCTGGTCTGGCCTACATGTAACTCCAGACCCACAGCAATGTGGCTGACTCTTAACTGCCTTCTGGGCAATTAGGGATGGGCAATAAATGCTGCTTAGCCAGCGACACCCTCATCCGGTGAATGAAAAACGGGGCGGAAAAAAGCATTGACTGACTGTTAAATGCCAATGTTGTAACTGGACTATTACAGGCTAGGTGGACAGCAAGTTCTAGAGTGCAGATCAGTACCATTACCAAAATGTTGTAGTATTTGTAGTATCCGCTGTTTTAATGAATTCTTGATATCATGTGGAATGAACCAAATTAGCTGAACATTGGCATCTGTGCTCCTCAGAATCTCCAGAGGAGGCCAAGATGGGCCATTCATTCAGCACCTCCGGATGAAGGTAGTTGCAAATGCTTCAACCCTTTTTTAGTTGAGTAAGTCAAAAGCAGGTAAAGGGTCATGGGGATGGAAGCTGGTAGCGCTGCCTTCCTAAGATAGAGGTGGACAGAAAGATTTGTCTTGTTATTTTAGTAGAACACAGTGAATTAGGGCAAGACAGTGAAGGGAGGGAGGGAGTCACTCTGTCGTCAAGACCCTGGATACACCAGCAGCCTTTGTCTTTAAAGTAATAAATCACTCAAGGCACTGAACAGGAGCATTTTAAAATAATGTGCCTCTGAGCCATAAAGAGTTATGTTTGGTCAGATGACCACAAGTTTGCTTCAAGAGGTAGGAAGTGTCCTAATGGAGGAAAATGTGGTGGAGAGGCAAGAGTGTATTTCAATGCTCTGGGCTTAGGCAACTGAAAGGACAGCCACTAGTGGAGGAGCAGTTATGATTGAAAATGCATAAAGAGTCAAAATCAGAAGAGCGTCAATATTTCTAAGCATTGTAGGATGGGAGATTGCAAAGACTGGGGGAAGCAAGGCCGTAGATGGAATTAAAAATGAGGACAGGCATCTTAAAGGTGTTGGCTTGATTGGGATCCATGTAAGTCAGCGAGCAGTGTTGCCGAGAAAATGGACTTTGCAAGTTAAGACATGGATAGCAGAGATTTGGATGACCTCCTAGTTTATGGAGGATAGAGAGTAGAGTGTGGCAAAGCGGCCCAAAATGTGTTGGAATAGTCTAGTCTAGAGGAGTTAGTTAAGGAATGGATTAACTTTTCAGCAGTAGACTAACTGAGAGGAGGGCAAAGCCAAGTAGTGTTACAGGAGCGATAATATAGGTAACTATAGTGAAAGCACAATTGAAATCAGAAGCTCATCTCCACATCCAATGCAATACCAAGACTGCAGACAGAATGGCTTAATCCGACTGTTGACAAGGATACCGATAGAGTTAGTATTTAAGGAGTGGAGTTTGAAGCAGGGATTGAAAACAACAAGCCTGACTTTCCCAATATTTAATTGGAGAGAATTTCTGCTTATTTGACGTCTAATCCTGGATAAGCAATCTGATAATTTAGCAACAGTGGAGGAATTGAGAGGACTGGTGGTGAGGTAGAGTTGGATGTCATCAGTACATGTGTGAAAACTGACACCATCTTTTGCCCAAGAGGCAGCGTTTAGATGGGAAATGGGCGAGGATCAAGAATAGAACAAAAACAGAAGTTGGTGGAAAAGCTCAGCAGGACAGGCAGCATCTGTGAAGGAAAAAAATCAATCAATTTCGGGTCTGGTGAGGAAGGGTCACCGGACCCGAAACATTAACTCTGATTTTTTTTTTCTTCACGGATGCTGCCAGACCTGCTGTGTTTTTCCGGCAACTTCTGTTTTTGTTCCTGATTTACAGCATCTGCAATCCTTTAGGTTTTTACTGAGGATCAAGAATAGATTCTTGAGGGACACCAGAGTAACCATACGGGAACAGGAAAAGAAGTCAGTTCAAGTGATTCTGTGATTTTATGATTCAGTAGATGAGAATGAAAACACGTGACATCAGTACAACCCAAATGAATAACATTGGAGAAGGCCTGGAGGATGGTGCATTTAATCATATGAAAGGCTGTAGACAGCTGAAGGACGACAAGGATGAAGCAGTTGCCTTTTGTCTCGTTCACATAAGATGTCATTTGTGACTTTCAGACCTTCAGTACTGTGGAGGGAAACCTGATTAGAGTGACTGAAACAGTGATGGTGAGATGAGAATGGATTTGGGAGATGACAACATGTTTGAGGACTTTGGGGGGATAAAAGTAAAGGTTGGCCAATGTTTGCAAGAATAAATGAGTCGATTTGGTTTTTCTTTTGAGAAGAGGTATCAGGAGAGAGTCTGACTTCATCTAGGAGGAGGGTGTGGCTGATGAGAATCTTGCTCTCAACTTTTTTTTTTTTAGCTCAACATGGTTCAGATGATTTGCAGGAAATCTGCTAAAATAATGGTTCAACATGCAAATACTGCATGCAATCTCACTGTAAAGGATATAGGCTGGGAAGATCTTGTTTTTGATCCATCGTTCTCTGGTGAGTCAGCCGGCATGTCACTGTCATTGACTCTGATGCACAAACTGGAGGTTGGAAAAATCTTAGCAAGAGTTGGTAATCAACATCTGTGTACAATCCCAGATCTGTCCTGGAGGTTGCTACAAGAGCTATGTTCTCACTTATGTTTGTCACTTATTCAGGTATCAGGCTAAATAGACAAGGAATAGGCACTGAAAAAACTTGCCAAAAAATAGAAATTGAACAGGAGTCTGCAAATATTTCTCAAAGAGTAAAACTTAAGATAGAGTTTGGTTCAAATATATCTGTTGACTTTGATGTTTGGAAATTGATTGTAAACCGTGTTGTTTAAGCCTCTTGTTGTCATAATTGTCTGTCAGGTGCAAGTACGCTGGGGACGATAGCAGGTACGACTCTCGCAGGAGTGTCCACCGTTTCACCAACGCTCAACACTCCCATTGCCACTCTTGGTACCATCGCCAACCTTACCGGCCAGATAATCAGTGCTTCCCCTAACACCACTCAGAAACTTACTGCTGTAACTGGAACTACTTCCACAGCCCCCATCATCACCATTCAGGTAGGACAGATCCAAGCTTTCAAAATGTTACAGTAGATTCATTTCAATGGAAATGTTGTGACTTTTAACAACTCAATGAAAAATGGCTCAAGAGATAGAGCCAGAAGAGAGCTTTGATAGTTGGGGCTGATGGAGTACACCTTTGCAGAATCCAGAATGTGAGGTGTCACCATAACAGATGATAAAGGTTGCTTTTAAGTGGTTTCCAAAACCAGGAGCACATTCGTTGATGTATTTTAAGGAAAACTGCCCCTGGCCTAGAAATTTGGCCAGTCACTTTGCTTGGCCACTAAACAACCCTCCAGGTCTTCAAAACAAATAATGGGAATGCAGTATCTACCATGTTGGTAAAAGTACAAAACAAAGTAATAATGTCCTCTCATGAAGTGGATATTAGCTCTGTTGCATATGCAAAATGCATGGTATATGTTTGAGGTAGTTCCTGGAAGATGGCTTTAGTTGGAAGCATTTGCCTCACTTAGGGGTGGGAAGAGGAAAATATTCTTTAATATAATGTTCATTTAATGTGATGTCACTAACTGGGTCAGCATTTATTACCCATCCCTAATTGCCCAGAGGGCATTTAAGAGTCAGCCACATTGCTGTGGGTCTGGAGCTATGTGTAGGTCAGAGTAAGGTCCTTCCCTAAGGTCTTAATGGAACTGCCTGTTAGATCACAAATAACTAAGTTCAGTTGTAAGATATACTTGGCTAAATGTACAAATAAGAGGAGTAAGCTCAGTCTGCTGTTCCACAAATGCTCTAAGCTGCCTGTTACAGTCTGCAACAGGGATACAATTGTGTTGTCAGTGTGACTGAACTAGTAATCCAGAGGCTCAGGTGGAATTCTACCAGAATTTAAAATTCAATTAATAAATTTTAAATACAAAGTTAGTCTCAGTTTTATTTATCATTCATGGGTTGTTGATGTGACTGGCTCGGCCAGCAGTTATTGCCTATCCCTAGCTGCTCTTGAGAAGTTAGAGTTGAGATGCTTATTTGAAGCACTGCAGCCCATTTGGTATGAGTTGACCCACATTGTTGTTAGGGAGCATGTTCCAGGATTTGTAATGGTAACAATGAAACTATTTATCAAGTGTGGAAAGAACATATTTTGCGTAATGCCCTTTTAGGGACGGTAATTTGCATCCTAAGCCTAGCTTGCATATGACTGCAGACCCAGAGCAATGTTGTTGAATCTTAACTGCCCTCTGAAATGGCTTAACAAATGGTTTCAATGGCAATTAGGGATGGACAACAGACATTGGCCTGCCAACAAATACCCTATCCTATGAAAGAATAAAGGAGGAAAATATAGGACAGCTTGCTGAAATTAAGCCTGGTATTGAGTCTCTCCATTTCAAAGCAAGGGTTGATCTCTATACTCGCCTCCCACATGTCCATAAATTGATTCATCTGTATTTCTAGGTCTGTGGATACCCCACTAGTACAAGAAAGCCAAGTTTTGTAGTATTAGTGGCACAATGGGTTTTATGGATGATGCTGTCCCAGAATGCGAACTAAAAGAGAAATGTAAAGAGCAACAACTTCCTCACTAGCCCGTAGCCAGCTGTAATGACCCTAAGGAATAAGTCTAGCTCTGTTCAAACCCCCAGGTGTTTTTAATCTTCTGTTGTAGTTTGCATTCTATTTAGCCACTGATCCATCACTCTGATCTGTCTGGAAATTAAACCAATTGTTTTTACAACAGTAGTGCACCTTCTATTAGTAGTTTAAAAGGGGTAAAGTGCAATGTCTTGTTGGCAACGTCTTTCCTTTTTGCATCTCTTACCCGTGTCTCTGAATTCTTTTCTTTTCAGCCTGTGTCTGAGCCAAACCGTGTCACAATTGTTGCCTCCCCTGGTGGCATGGTTGCACAGCAAGCACAGCAGCTTGTGAATTCAGGATCTGCTTTGGTCGCGGCACCTCAAGTCGCTACTGTGAATTCAGAAACTCAGACCCACAGGCTTGAGTTTGTTGAAATGCCAGTCAGATGTTCAAATCCTCCCCATGAGACATCAGAAACCAACACCACCAACACATCTACAACTACCACAGCAAACATTGCAGCAAACCAAGGCAAGTATACTGCAGGAACAAAAACAACAGGAATAGTTTTGTTTACTAATTTACTGGTTATTTTTGTTAATTATCTCTATGACCCACAGAACTAAGGCAAGTAGATGGTCTTATGATTCAGTTCAGCTATGATCTAATTGAATGGTGGAACAGGCTCAAGAGGCTGAATGGCATCCCGTTATTATGCTTGTATGTCACTTTTTTAATAAATTGTTGTCTAGTTAACATAGCTGATGAGTGAGTTAACTGCTCATAGCTGAATTATGGTCAACTTGTTCAGTTGGAGGCAGACTCGTCTCTGAATCAGAAATTGTGGATTCAGGTCATGTAGTCATAGAGGTATCCAGCGTGGAAACAGGCCCTTTGGCCCAACTCATCCATATCAATCAGTCCCAACTATGAACTTGTCCCACTTGCCTGCATTTGGTCCCCTTTTAAACCTTTCCAATGCATGTACTTAACCAAATGTCTCTTAAATGTTGTAATTGTATCTGCCTCTACCACTTCCTCTGGCAGTTCGTTCCATATAGGCACCATCCTACGTGTGAAAAATTCAAACCCTAGGGATCTAAATGCACAAAGGTTTAAAGGGTTAAAAGTCAGTTCAATGTTGATGGAATGCTGCATTGCTGGAGGCGCTGTCCTTCAAAAGAGGCATTAAATCAAGAGACAACAAGGTGCAGAGCTGGATGAACACAGCGGGCCAAGCAGCATCATAGGAGCATTAAATCAAGATCTTTTATGTTCTCTGAATGTAAAAGATTCCATGGTGCTATTTTAAAGAAGAGAAGGCAAGTTCTCTTCAGTGTTCAGTGTCAATAGTTATCCCTCAATCTGCAAAACACAAGCAGATTATTCTATTGCACTGCTGTTTGTAGGAGCTTGCTATGTGTAAACTAGCTGCCACATCTCCTACACTGCTAATGTGACTACCCTTCAGTAGTAGTACTTCATTGGCTGTCATGTGTCCTGAAATTGTGGAAGACTATATAAAGTAGTTTTTTTTTGTTTTAACTGTGACAGTTAATAAATTATGGGCGCTAATATGCTAAATAAAACTTCTTACATAATTGAAACTATAACTTAATGTTTAATCATTTAATATTTTTGTGCTCATCCAACTTTATAGTCCAGCCACCTGCCATGAATGCACAAGGTATTCCTGAAAGTGTGCATGGTGAAACAGCAACAGCAGGAACAACAAACACTGCAACCACTGCATCTACAGCTCAGAGTGGGGCAGTTACCATGGTAACACAGTCCACACCTGCTCCTGGACCTTCGACACAGGTAAGGCAAGGAAGAGATACACGGGGTTTGGGACTGTACAGGGATGTGAGCTTAACACCCAATTAAATGCTATTAGATAACAAACAATTTTTAAATAGTTTCCTCTGGCACAAGATGTAGTCTACTGGCACTGCAGAGCTGTACATGGCAAATGTTGGAGAAGCCATCCTTCAGATAGGACTTTAAAACACGTGGATGTAAAGATGCCATTGTGTAATCAAAGAGTATGGCATGTCCAAGTCAACATTCCTACTGCTACTAACTCCATGAAAAGCCTGATTCAAGTGTCACTTCTATCATTGTACTTGGTCATGCAGAACCAGATGCTGCACTAATCTACAGAAATCAAACAAATTGCGTTCTTGCAATAAAACCATTTAGACTTTAAATTAAATTTTTAATTCACAGAAAAATGATCACGCTGCTTCACATTATCAGACGAAAGTGGGTTGTGAGGTAGAAGATGAGTGAAAGCTTTGTCAGAGAGATCTTGAGTAAGGAAAGGGAGGCTGAGGGGTTTAAGGTAATTCAGAGCATTGTGTCTAGACAGCTGAAGGGACAGCCACGGTGGTATAGTGAAAGAAGTAGGGGACTGGGCAGATCTGAGAATTGCAGAGTTCACCTATGTTATAGAGCTTAAGAGGTAAAGTGCTCAAGGAATTTAAATAAAAGGGCACACTTTAAAGTTGAAGCATAGTGAGCACACCGTTGACTCTGAGATGGTATGACCATAAGACTAGAATTAGACTATTTGGCTCACTGAGTCTGCCATTCGGTAAGATCTTGATAACCCTCAATTCCACTTTTCTGTCGTTTCCCATAATCCTTGATTCCTTTACCGATTTTAAAAATCCGTTCAAATCAGCCTTGAACATAAATGAGCTAGCCTCTACAGCCCTCTGTGATTTAAATAAAATTCCACAGATTCACTATGCTCTGAGGGAAGCATTCCATCACATCTCTGTCCTAACTGGGTGGGTCCTTACTCTGAGATTATGCCTTTTGGTCCTAGTTTCTCCCACAAGGGAAAACAACCTCTCCACATCTACCCTCACAAGCCCCGAAGAATTTTGTATGTTTTCAATAAGGCCATCTCTCATACTCCTAAACACTCATGAATATAGGCCCACCCCATGCAACCTCTCCTCTTAAGACAATCTGGGATCAACTCAGTGAACTTCTCTGCTTCCATGATAACTTGTGCTTTGTATCAAGACTTCCCTTTTTTTTTTACTCCATTCCCTTTGAAATGAAGACTGACATTCCCTTCCCTGTTACCTGCTCAACTTGGATGTTAGCTTTTGTGATATTGCACAAGGACGCTCCAATTTCTCTTGCTGAAGCTTTCTGGAGTTTTTCTCTATTCACATGATATATTCAGCTTCTCTGTTCTTCTTGCCAAAGTGCATAACCTTGTATATTCCCGCATTCTATTTCACCTCCTAAGTTTTGTACCCGCTCACTCAACTTGCCTATGTCCCTCTGTATATGTCTTGTGTCGTCCTCACTATTTGCATGCTCACTTATTTTTGTATCATCTGTAAAACTTGGCTATGGTACACACTTGTCTGGCCATTCCTTTGACTTGTCAGTGACCTTCTGAAGTTGTGCACCAAACTAACAATTCACGAGGGTTCCAAGTTTTGTGTCATCTGCAAATATTGAAATTGTGTTATATACACCAAGTGACTTCACCTGACAAAGGAGCAGCACTCTTTAAAGCTTGTGATTTCAAATAAGCCTGTTGGACTATAACCTGGCGTCGTGTGACTTCTGACTTCATAGTATTGCATTTACAACATTGCATTTCCATGTAGCAATCTGCATCTGCAACTCATCAGTTTTATTTACCACACTCCATGCATTCACCTACATGCAAGTAACCTTGATTTGAACTGTTACTTTCTCCCTTACCCTCTTAACTTACTGTCCCTTATTCTAGTGCAAGCTCTCTACCAGTATTCTCTGTGCCTTGGTAAAAACTGAAAGAACTGCGGATTCTGTAAATAAGAACAAAAAACAGAAGTTGCTGGAAAAGCTCAGCAGGTCTGGCAGCATCTCTGAAGAAAAATCCGAGTTAACATTTCGTGTCCAGTGACCCTTGCCTCCGAATCCTCAATTCTGGTGAAGTGTCAACAGACCCGAAACATTTACTGATTTTTCTTCTCAGATGCTGCCAGATTTGCTGAGCTTTTCCAGCAACCTCTGTTCCTTGGTACTCCCTTTCTAATACTGTCTCCTGGTTCCTACAGCCCTGCCAAATTGGTTTAAACCCTCACTATAGCATTAGCGAAATATTCTGCAAGGAACTGCATTCCGGCTGTATTTAGGTAGAAGCTGTTCAATTACTCAAGATTCTAAAGAGCCCTTCAGAGATAGCGAGGAACTGCAGATGCTGGAGTCTGAGACAACACTGGAGCTGGAGGAACACAGCAGGTCCGGAAAGAACCCTTTCCTGCACCACCTTTCCAGCCCCACTTTCATCTCCTTTTATCCTCCTATTTCTCTGCTCATTTGCATATGGCATTGGGAGTAATCTGGAGATTACTACCTTTGAGTTCCTATTCCACCTAACGCCTTAAATTTTGACTGCAGGACTTCCTCTTTAATGCCTGTGTCATTTATACCAATGAGGACCATGACAGCTGGCTGTTCACCCTCCCCCCTCAGTAACATACTTGATTGTGGCACCATGAAGGCATCCACCATCCTAGAATCATGCCTATGGTTGCAGAAACTCCCATCTTTGTTCATAATATTGAATCACATTGAATCACTTGCTCCTATTGTATTCCTTGTAGTTCTCTATAAGCTGAGAACCCAGTCATGCCATTAACGTGGCTTAGGCTACACCCCCCAGATGCACCATCACTTCCATCAGTATTCAGAACTGAATTCGTTCTGGGTGTTATTGCACTGTCTATTATATTTTGATTGCCTAGTGGTCACCCATGTGCATTCCATGAAGTTCTTGGCCTCAGTGGAAGCTTCAGAGGCTCCCCACCACTTCAGTGAAGGTGGAAGCTAGTCCTGGGATCAGGGAAGCTCTCAGTGAACAACATTGCTGTTTTTCTGTAGTGAGAATACTTATGAGTTATGTGAACCCTTGCTTGAATTTCTAAACAATAATCTAAGCGAGCTGGAGAAGAGACGCTTGAAGTTTCTGACTAATTCCTTCTGAAGATTCTGATTGATTAATTGTTCTGTGCAGCAATTAGGATTGCACCATGACTTGGTTACTACAATGTAAATGAGCTATCAAATTAATTTTCTCTTCCTGCAGGCAGCCCCATCAACTGAAGGACAATCTAATAGCATCGAGCAAGGTTCTGTGTCTACAGTGGGACAGAATATTGTACAGATTCTGCCTGTCAGCTCCACTGGTGTTGGTGCCACAATAGCAGTTAGGGTCTCCAGCAGCACAAACCAAGAAGCAGCAACAGCTACCTTGGCACAGGCATTGAATCCTCAACCTAGCGTCGGACTGCAGCAAGATCAGCTCCTACCTCCGCGAGAGCTGCTGGCTGATAGCCGGCCAGAGACCCTTGCTGAGCTGGGTCTGTCTCCTGAGGAGCTGGCTGTAGCAGCTGCTGCTGAGGAGGCAGCCCGTTTCGCAGCACTGGAGGAAGAAGCTAAGGCAACGACAGTGGCACAAACATCTCTGGTCTCTAAAGGGGCTGCCACAGCAGGTAGGTGTACGTGCAGGTTTGAGTTCCCAACTGCGAGGTTAGTAGGAGTAAGCGGAAAATTGAGAAGCAAATTTGTAAGATCTCCCATATCTGTAAGAATAATAGGGTTGTAATAGAACATAGAACATTACAGCGCAGTACAGGCCCTTTGGCCCTCGATGTTGCGCCGACCTGTGAAACCAATCTGAAGCCCAACTAACCTAAACTATTCCATTATCATCCATATGTTTATCCAATGACCATTTAAATGCCCTTAAAGTGGGCGAGTCTACTACTTTTGCAGGCAAGGCATTCCACGCCCTTACTACTCTCTGAGTAAAGAACCTACCTCTGACATCTGTCCTATATCTATCACCCCTCAATTTAAAGCTATGTCCCCTCGTGCTAGCCATCACCATCCGAGGAAAAAGGCTCCCACTGTCCACCCTATCTAATCCTCTGATCATCTTGTATGTCTCTATCAAGTCACCTCTTAACCTTCTTCTCTCTAATGAAAACAGCCTCAAGACCTTCCCTCCATACCAGGCAACATCCTGGTAAATCTCCTCTGCACCCTTTCCAATGCTTCCACATCGTTCCTATAATGCAGTGACCAGAACTGTATGCGATACTCCAAGTGCGGCCGCACCAGAGTTTTGTACAGCTGCAACATGACCTCATGGCTCCGAAACTCAATCCCTCTACCAATAAAACCTAACATAC